TTCTAATAAATATTAAATTACGTCTGCATGTAATTAATTTTCGAAGCAAAAAAGAAAACATATATATTATTATATATTACTAATTAGAAGCTACGCGCGTCGTACATGATATTTTTTCTTTTTCAAAATCATATATATTCATTGTATATAACATGAATATAGATCGACAGAAAGTGTGGAGTCGCGCATTTCAATTTTCAAGGCGCATACATCTAACATGATACATCACCCAGCCAAAGCGCTAATTTTAATATAGCTACTTGTTCCTCGTGAAATGTGATAATCTCATGTGTAACTTTCATCCTGTAATATAGGAGGCCACTTTACAGTAAATATATAGTTTATTCGATTTATCGATCAGCTTAATTAATGCTCTCTATATATTCACTAATTATATACATTACTGTTCCTGAGAGGCCCAATATATTCTCTCTTTAATCTAGCAATTTGTGTGATATCAGATCGATCATTACTTTAATATTTTTCACCTTAGAATTAATGTATCATGTTGATCGTATTCCAAATATACTTTAATGTTTGTTGATAAATTCATATTTGTTCTTGATTTTCAGTAGTTGTATATAGGCTGTAGCATAATATAGTTTATCTAACTTCTTTAATTTATGAAAATGCCTTAAACCTTAATTAATATGGTCCAAAAACTACGTATAATTGGGTGACAAAACTATGTACGGATCACTGGCACCATATTTAAATAACGAGCCTAATCCTCATTACAACGACTGAAAAAAACATGTTCATGAGCTAACCAGTATAAAGAAAAAGAATTGTTATTCACAAATATGGCTGATGGTGATGGTAATGAAACAGATGGAACTGACAGTGGAAGTGTAAACCACTTCTTGTTGCCAAACAGCTGGGTTGGATGGGCCAAAATTATTTTTAAAGTTATTGCTTGGTTGATTTATTATTTATTGGTAGTAATCTCATTAGTAGGGTTCATTATTTCATCTGCGTTGGTATTGACAAATAAAATCAAGAACAGAGATTTTCAACAGAATCAAAATGAAGAAATAGAAAATTTAATCAAATCATGTTCAATTGTAACACGGTTTATCTCCAGGAAAAATCTAGAAGCTGCAACTGCACTTTCGGAGTTTGATTTTGATTTCAAAAAACACAAGAATCAATTTGAAGAACAATTGGAAGAAATCAGAAGTTTAAAAAATATTCAATATCTGGTATGTCCAAACATCAATCAAACAGTATTTGAAAACACTAGTGAAGAAACAAAAACTGAATGGGCAGATTCAATTTTATCCAACTCCAACCATTACATATCAAATCTAGGAAACTTCATCTCAATTAATTTATATGGTAATAAAACAACAAATGGATTAATAACAATTGTGGATTATCATATCAAAATAATTCAACTTTGGATGTTATTTAGCAGTTTTTTGATTTTGGTTTATTTGATTATATTGACAATGGCTACAAGTAATCTTCACTATAGTATTCCAAAGTTTTTGGGATTGATGCTTTTGTTATTAGTTGAAATTGTAGTTCTTTTACTAGTTATTTAAATCTACGAGTGAATTATCTTGTTTAGCTAGCTATATTTTTATGTTTAATATCTATATTTGAACTTGTAATTACTTTGTAGTTAATTATAAACATTAATTATGTATATTAAACGTTATATACTTAATCATTAAATAATGATCATTATGAAGCTGGTGTATAGCTTTAAAGATATCAAATTTGGTATCAATTTGTTGACCATTGGTTGTTGTTGTTGTTGTTAAATTAGCACCAAATGGATTTCTACCACAAGAAGTTTTTGAAGATGATGATGTTAATGAATTAGGTAAATAATTTGTAGG